TGATTTTTAAGACAGTGAATACAATATTTCTGTCTCAAAGACTTTGCAGTATAGATCCCTAATGAAACTGATTCATCCTCTTCTCAGTTTCTGTAACTTTTTATTCTACGTGTCTTGACCTAGGGAAAAGAATATCACTGCAGAAATTATTTATGGGTCATTATCCACGACTGTTCAGCATAGGGAATTTAATAGTCTTACCTGCAACCTGCTAGGTTTTCCAGAAAGCAGAGGTTTCCCCTTGCTTGTGAGCTAGTTCATGTAAAGGAGAGATGTCAAATAACCCTGCCTGAGGTTTCAATTCTAGCAGTTCGGAAAGGGGATCTATCTGTGTTGTAGAGGAGAATAATGAGACACTTTTGCCCAGTTGTTCTTGGCCATCAAAATACCTGTGTTTACTCTCAGTTTCTCTTTCCAGCATGTGCTGTTCTTTCTCTTTCCAAGGCACACAACGGCCTTGTTGACAAGTCCTGGTTCAGGACTTGTCATTCAAATTGTCCCCTGTAGGAAGTAGACATTTCCCTTATTCTGCCATGATCATAGGCTGTTCGTATCTCGCAGTAATGTTACATTTACTGAAGATGCAGGGAGGTTTGCAGCCTGTCCACACCAGGGACATGCTTGTCCTCTGCTGAATTGTTCTAAATGGAACTATTTCTGTGCACTCCACCTGGCTTCTCTGCCTATAGCAGGGGGGTTGGAACTAGATGATCTTTGAGGTCCATTCCAACCCAGGCCATTCTGTGGTTCTGTGTATTATGGGAAGTTTCCCAAAGTAAGTGGGACGTGCCTATTTCGAGAAATGTTCTTCTGCAGAGTTAAATCCATCTAGTGTACTTTGAATAATGCAGACTGCACCATAAAATACTGTGTGATTTGTGGTGCCATCCTCACAGCAGAGCCAACAGGAGGGTACAATGCTGTCTCAGCTCAGTCAAGCACAAAGCTTGATATCTCCACTTAAGCTGCTGTTGGGAGTGGTTTTAAGCTGCGTGGAGGCAGCTGAAGTGCAGGGACACGTTCCCTTCTCCTCGGTCTGCTGAGGGGGAGAGAGCAGATAAGTGCAATTTCTTAAACCATCACAGCCCAATTTGCCATAGTTTATGTTTCAGTGCTGCAGGATTGCTGGTGAGATACTCTATAAAAGATTAACAGTTTTTGAAACAGTTTAAAAGAAAAAAGTCTTGCTCTGTAGGCAGATTTTAAAGGTGAAAAACATACTTTAGAAGTTACTATTATTCTAAAATAAGACCCAAACCTGAGTATTAGTTCAGAATGGAGAAATGTGAAAGCAATCCTCAATATTTAACAGGGTTGCAACAGGAGAACAGCAACAATGAGAGGAAATTGTTGCATTTACAAAGAAATTTTCTTGACCGTGTGCAGCAATACGGACTGTGGCTCAGTATGATCTGAGGACAAAGAGCTGAAGGAATAGGTAATTAGGGAGAGATACTTACTGTGCATGGCCGTGCTTTCTGCACCTTCTGCTTAACATTACGGATAAATGTTTGCCCAAGGCACTTGGAGCCTGCTGATCTGCTTCGGCTGTGCTGTACTGCAGACTGCTAGCTATGGCATAATGCATTCAAGGTATAAAAGCAGTATTACTTGATTAAGAACCTGAATAACTCACTTTAAAATATGATGTTTTCTGTTGATTTGAATTTTAAAAGCTGAAAGTTGCACTTTGGTTCAGTCAGCAGTTGTGGCCTAGGTAGGAGAACACTGGAGGAAATTTCAGTGGCTTGTGATTTGTAAAGTTATGGTTCTTCTCAGTTTAAAGTCTGTTAGTCCAGTTACTTTAAGCCTCCTTTTTTTTTTTTTTTCTTTTTTTTTAAGTGAACTGGCAGCATCACTTTCAATTCAATGTGTTATGCAGATTAATGAAAGATGATGTGTTTACATTCAACTGCGATTGCAGATGAAAGGTCATTTTGTCAGGTTTTTCACCCACACCTGAAAAACAGTGCCGTGAGGTTCTACTTCTAGGTAGCATTTGTCATAGGCACATATTTCCTATTACTTGTATTATATTTCTGTATCGGAACATTGTGTATACCTTAACCCTCCTCTCTAGTAGCTTGCATGATAACTTTCATATCAAGTCCATTGCCAGCTCAACTTGAACAGAGATCTCCCTGTTTCCAAAAGGTTGAAGTTAAGTTCTGGAGTGTTTTTCTATCTTTTTTTTCTTTCTTTTTTTTTCTTCTTTTTTTCTTTTTTTTCTTTTTTCTTTTTAACAACAAAAATCTGTTATCTGAATGAAGAGGTAGTTCTTGCTTGTGTTGAAGCTGCCTTTGGGGTCTCAGCTTTCGTCGCTGCCTTTCCCTCACCGTGTGAATTCCAGGTCTCATCACAACACCGCCTGCTGAGCTGCCGCAGTTTCCTTCTGCGCTATGTGTAGGAACATCCACATTTCCGTACTGTGGCTGTCCCATCAAGCTGTCTCTTTGCTGCCGGCTTCTGGGGGGTGTGTGAATAGCACCTGCACTGCCGGCTGAGTCGGCAGGGCTGTGCCTGGTGCTGGTGGTCTTGTGGTGTCCCGGCCGCAGGAGCTCAGACTTGTTCCTCCACCACGCAGCTTTGTTTGGACGCTGCGTTCACAGAAGTGACCAGCCTGAGGATTGCCAGAGCACCCTGTATGCAATTAAAATATAAGCAGTGCTTTTCATCCTCAGCTTTTTTTAGTCAAAGGAAGAGAGAACACAGATACAAGACAGAAATGTAGAAAGAGCACTGCTTTAAATGCAGCAGAAATTAACTTTTGCAGCTTTTCTACAGCTGTACCTGTTTCCTGCACTGGCTGCCCCAGCAAAGCGCTGTGTGTGCCTGCGTCCTGTCCCCAGAGGTGGTTCGGATCTGTGCTGCACTCACCAGTTAGGCTCGTGGATTGCAGGGGTGCCATTTGCACAAAGAAATCCCCACAGCAGCTGTAACAATCACCTCCTCTGCTTCTTACGGCACATTGATTAAAGGAAATGTCCACCGGCAGCTTTATAGGTCTGGACCATGTAACCTGCTCCTTCCCTGGTCTGTTGTTTCTATGACCACTGGTGGTGCTCCCAAGCACAGCTTTCATCTGCTGGCCAAAATTCACTGTTGCTGATTTTGACTGCAGCATTTAATCTCAGCCCTGCTAAGGACGAGGCTCACAGGAGCAGCTGCCATGAATAGGTGGATGCTGACTTTGTTGTGCAAGTGTTTTCAGTAGAGCCATTTTTGAGTGTAGAAGGGTGTACCAGTATCAAATCACGTGGCAAGTTCAGCAGTCCAATAGCCCAAAGGTAAGGAGTCCCACCTACAGCTCCTTCTTATGTGCATTAATCCGTATTTTACACTGCAAAGTACAACATACCATCTTGCTTGTTTTCATTTCCTGTTATGGATCTCATGTGTTTATTAGTTAATTACTTTAAATATATATTTGGATATGCACAGTTCCAAAAATTAGCAGACTGTAATCATTAAAATCCTAGATTAGATAGAGATTAGATTAGATTTAGTGGACAAATTGCTAGCTGCAGTTAATTCAGTGAATCTTGAAATGCCCAGTTTGGGCCTTTCTCTGTCTGGAGTTCAATATATATATATATACAGCATCCATCTGTAGGAGTGCCAAGAAGTGGCATTTTCCACAGTTCTTGTGCTGTGTCTGGCACTGCTCTCTTATGGTAGTTGCATGCAGTGTGAGAAGGGATGTGGACTTTCCATCAAATGCTAATTTGCACAGCTTTTGCTGAGATAAGGAAATAATTCCACTGCTTTTTCTTAGGTGACGTTGTTGGCCCTGTGGACACTATTACATTGCCACGTTATGTCTATGTTGTTACAGTGGTAATTACCTTCATGTTTAAATTGAATCTCTTATTTTCTAACTTGAAAGTATTGTAGCTGTCCTCTTCATTCATTGGCCAATGGATGAATTCATTTTATTCATTATACCCTTGACTTGGACACATATGCAAAGATATATTCATATCTGCCCAGAGAGATTGTGGAGTCTTCTTCCTTGGAGAACTTCCAAAGCTGCCTGGACCTGGATCTAGGCAACCTGCGCTATGTTTCTCTGCTTGAGTTGTACCGGATGACCTCCAGATGTCCCTTCCAACCTTAACTGTTTTGTGATTCTGTGATATATAACAACAGTGTGTGTGTGCCTTGTATCACAGAATCCTGAGAGTTTTAGCAAAGCCACAGAACCTCGACTGATCTCTTTCTATCTCATTAAAAAAATAGCTAATAGCAATGCTCTAGAATTAATATTTACTTGCTTTTTTTTTAATGTATTTGTATCTGAAACTATTTTATTATTTTCATTTTAATAGTTACTTCTACTAAATAGAGAGTTTTTAATTTATGTGCAAATTAGGTACCTTCCTAAAAAATACATGAATTTATTTCTAGCTGATGAAATCTAGCTCGTGTCCACCTATATGATATGGTATGAGGGATTTGAATGGGAGGACCTAGAAAGTTGTTTGAGAAAGAAGACTTTTTTGCTTGCCTGTAGTAGGACCACAATAGGGTGTGTGCAGATGCACTTATAGAGGGAGACAATCTGTGCTTTTTGCGAATCCATCCAGGTAGAGCTTGGCTGAATGATGAAGGCTGCAGTCAGGTACTTGACGGACAGAGGTAGCAACTCCTGATGGAAGGGGCAGTGCCTGTCTGGTGCAGAGGGGTCTTTCTGCTTTTTGGAGCTGCATGCACCAACAGAGCAACAGATTTGCACCAGGGCTCTTGCTCCCATCTGCAAAGCAAATGCAGAGAGTGGTCAGGGAGCTGTGGGGGTGCACTGGGTGAGGAAGGCTTGTTGAAAGGGATGTCTGTAATTCTTCCACTGCCTACTCTAATTATACCCCTGAGTGGAGTAAGTCCTAATGCACTGGGCACTCCTGGGAGTTGGGACTGTAGCCCAGGCAGGAGACATGGTGGTGCTGTGATGCCCACTGTGTGTGTGCTCACCTGGTTCTCACCCCTCTCTTGGGGCTCTGCAGAGTGTCCCCTGACTGCAGCGGCTCAGCTGGAACTTGGTGCCGAGATGATCAAAGCACTGCGCAATGGGGGAGCACACCTGGATTTCCGGACACGGGAGGGAATGACAGCTCTTCACAAGGCTGTGCGGTGCCGCAACCATGCGGCGCTGTTGGTGAGTTGTGGCTTGGTCCCCTCTGCCCGTTGCCCCAGTGCCAGCTGCTCCACTTCCCGACCTGGCCTCATGTCACTGCCCCCATATCAGTGTGCCCTCCTGGGATCAAAGAACCTGTCTTGTGCTGCATTTGGGGAGCACAGCTTGTTACAAAAATGTGGCACTAATGATCTGAGTCGTGGGGAGGGAAGGGGTGAGCACCACCTGCTGCCATGGCCGCAGCACCCCAGTCCTCACAGGGTGGGTTGTCCTGTGTGGCTGCCTGGAGCTGCAGGACAATGGAGGCGCTTCTCCTGCAGACGCTGCTGGACCTGGGTGCCTCCCCAGACTACAAGGACAGCCGAGGGCTGACGCCCCTGTACCACAGCGCCATGGTCGGGGGGGATCCCTACTGCTGTGAGCTCCTGCTGCACGACTACGCCCGGCTGGGCTGCGTGGATGAGAACGGCTGGCAGGAGATCCACCAGGTGAGACAGACAATGGACAAGGTGCAGCTGGGGCCACCACTGCCATACTGTCAGTGAAGAGGCCTGTCCTGTCCCCTCAGGTGCTGCAGGGATGTGGTGCCTTGTTGGCGGGCAGTGGTGGCACTGCATGGCAGGATTGGCCGGCATGGGGGGAGGGACGTGTCCTGGGTCCTGTCTGGGGATTTGCTCGGGGAGTGCCGGTTCTGTGTCCCACCCAAGGCTTAACATTCAGGTTGTTTCATGCTGGCCTTAGTCAATGGGTCTGGGATCCTCCCCAGATTACAGCTGTGCCAGGACAGCGATTTGGGACCTTGATCGAGCCTGAGGCATCCTGATTACAAAAACACAGTTATATCTGCACAGGGTGCACAGGGAAGAAAGAGATGAGCTAGATGGGTGAGGGGACCTGAGCTGGCTTTGTGCTTCAAGACTGAGCTCCTTCTGGAGAAGGGAGGGAGGGCTTTGCTGGCTCTGCCTCAAGTCCCTCAGTCTGGCACTGTCAGAGGGGCAGGCTGCCTTTGGGCCTGTGGCCTCCCACAGCACTCGGCTCTCAGGCCGTGCAAGGTGAAGGAGTACTGGTACATCAAAGGACAGATGGATGAGTGAAAAAAACAAGAGATGCATTTGTGATCTTGATTTGTGGGACATGACTCTCCTCCTTCCTGCCTCATCCTACATTGCCATGGCTGATCTTTGAGGTCTGCTCATCCCGGGATGGACCAAGCACAGAGGAAAACACCACACTAGGTCTGGATCTATTGCACTCTGCTTTGCCTGCTCGTGCTTCAGGGCTTTTTTCAGCAGATAAATATTACTGATGTAGCAAATGATCTGGAGGAGTCCCTGATACCTGCATGATGCTGAGACCAAATTTGCAATCAGTGTAAAGGTAATTTATCTGATAAGTGTTTGTGTATATATTGCTGTAAGGAGGAGCAGTGAGTGTGCGTGAGTGTTAATGGAACTCTTCAGGTTACTGTTCCTGTCTGATACAACTTTTCTAGCATAGATGAATCCAGAAGAGACAGGAAGATGTTATGAAGTTTATCACTTCCCTGCTGCTCTCTCATTTTATTTTTCTATTTCTTTTTTCCCCTTTTGCATTTTGAGCAGGCATGTCGCTACGGCCATGTTCAGCACCTGGAGCATCTTCTCTTCTACGGAGCTGATATGACTGCACAGAATGCCTCAGGAAATACCGCTCTTCATATTTGTGCTCTCTATAATCAGGTACTTCTGTGTGATTCAAGACATGAGAACAAAGAAAACATAGATGAGGAACCAGCCTGCCAGAGGGAACAATGCTGGGCTGGGGCATCTTCTGATTGCTATTACTGTTTGCAGGCCTAGAAAAGTTTTTCTGAATTGTATCCACCCTCTGTCTTGGGATGAGGCTGTTTCTGTTTGCAGCAGCAGACTGACGTTAGATTTCTCAAGAGTCTGGTGGCTAGGGGAAAGAGTCTGTGGTTCAGTCTAGTCCCATTCCCTGATTATTTTTGCTGATTTACTGCCTAACTTGTTCTGTAATTTTTCCTCTGGTTCCTATTCCTTCTTCACACCAAGTGCAGCGAGCCCCCATCACTGGCTGGAGGGAGCAGTTTGCCTGGGTGGAGAGTGCTAATTTGGTCCAGGTGCTTGCATGTAACTTTGGGGAGGGCACATGCCCCAATCAGGGCTTGTTGGGTACATCCTGTGGCTTTCACAGCCTTTGGGGCAGGCATGTGGGCTGGGGTGCTATCCCTGACACAAATGCTCATAATGATGAGAAGCTGTGACATGGGAGATTCAGGCTGGGTTTAAAGAAAAGGTTCTTCACTGAGAGGGTGATCAGGCATTGGAACAGGCTCTCCAAGGCAGTGGTCACAGTGCTGAGTCTGCTGGAGTTGAAGAGGTGCTTGGATAATGCTCTCAGACACATGGTCTGATTTTTTGAGTGATCCTGTGCGGACCTAGGAGTTGGACTCAATGATCCTTGTGGGTCCCTTCCAGCTCAGGATATTCTATGAACATCTTATTACCAATCCCTGAATTTTAAAGAAGGTTGACCAGGCAATGCAGAGTACCCTGCCCTCAGGGCCACTGATCTCAGTTCAGAAGAAATTAAGGGTAGTGGAAGAGCCCTCTCTGATCTTGCCCTCCCACTGCTCTCTTTCCGAGATGTAGAGTTCAGTATCTAAGGATTTCTCCTGTAGGTTTTATTCCTTCCTACAGATTTTATATATTCTATTTTCTGTTTTTGCTATAAAGGGAATTTTTCAGATTCCAAGGTGCCTATGTTTTAAAAAGTGAATACTCTTATAATTTGCAATAGAAGCTGATTTGTGGCTTGTTATGTGATGGGTGCACTCTGCAGACCTATGACTCTGATATCTGGGTTTATGCCCACTGGGTTGGTTAGGGAGAGCAGCATTAGGGTGTACAAGGGCTCATAAACATGTGGAATTAACAGTAGAGAAGTACAGAGCATTCAAAACAGAAGTGCTAAAAGGCTTTAGGAAATAGCAATACGTGGGAATGTGTAGTGGTCACTGTGCCTCATACGTGTGGTCTTGGACTTGGGCTTGACTATGGTGGCAGCACCTATAGCTGGCACACAGGTAGATGGAATTGGTCAGCTTGGTGCCAGAGGTAACCAGTTCATGGGGATTCTGGATCCTTTTATATTCCTTGCTCTTGCCAAAGGAGGATTTCTGAGTGCAATGAAACTATGTGGTTTGCTTCTTTGTTGTCACCAGTCTACAGTGCTAATCAGACTCTTCCTGTTTCCTCCTTGCTTGCTTTCCCAGGAGAGCTGTGCTCGGGTTCTCCTCTTCCGTGGTGCGAGCAAAGAGATTCGCAACTACAACAGCCAGACGGCATTCCAGGTGAGACAGTGAGCTATGGGCCCCAGTCCCTCCCACAGAACTCCTCTGGCATGGGCAGTGGCAGCCGCTGACATGCTCCTTGGGCATGCCTGGGATAACATTTACTGGAACAAAACCATTGATTCAGGACGCCTATTCTGACACTGGAGCGGGAGGGAGGAAAGCGATGGGAAGGACTATGAAAGTGGTATCTTATGGTGGGAGACTAAAAGAGTTTTGCTTGTTCTGTCATGTGTAATGGAGGTGGAAAGGAGGAATTATTGCTCTCTGTAGAAGTGTTCCAGTAAATGTTAGCGAGGGAGCAAAATCCTCATGAATAAAGGATTCAGTTTTGCACCAGAAGTGCACCTGAACTTGCTGTTAATAAACTTAAAATGGGAGTTAGAAGACCTCAAGCCACTATTGAAATGGATTGAAATTCTGCAATAGCTTTCATGTAAATATGTTAGGTAAAACAGATGGAAAAGGGAAACTTGGTCACTTTGCAGTATGACTCCTAAGTCTGCAAGTCATGCGAAAGTAATTGCCTGCAAATTATCATAGGCTGCAGTCTGTGATACAGGGGGTCTCTTCCCTTCAGTCTGCTTTGCCTTTCTTTTGAAAAGTTCTTGAACTTGAAATATCATTTCTGCCTGTGCTTTTGTGGAAGCATAATCTTCTACCTGCGGACCTTTTCAGAAATGTTGTGACTCATTGTCCAGCTAGTACTAATCTTCAGGTGTCCCTTGAGAGTAGAGCGTATCTGTCAGCATCTTAATCATGTACTAGCTTGGGTAGCCACAGATGACCTCCCTAACCATTTTCCCTTTAGAAATGCTTTTCTTCACTCTTTCAGTGTTGTATATAGAGGTTCTAGGCCAAAGCTTCTCAAGCTTGACCATCACAATGAAGTTGCACAGCCCCTGCAAGCATCATGAGTGGCTGCTGAGAGATGCCTTATTACAGATGCAATCACTCTCGTTCCCTGTGTGCAACTACAACTGTTTGTGCAGCAGCTTGTCCTGGGAGGAGAGGGATAGGAAATTGGGCAGATATTCTGCACATGCTGGAAATCTGCTACACTCGGGTTGTGCTGTGCCCGTGTTGGCCCTCGCATGGAGGAAGTGGGTACTTCTTGTGAGCCTTGTGTCCTGAGGGATGATAATTCTTCCAAATGAACTGAATACTTGAGTAGCTTGAATGCCATGAGTACTCAGGGGGAGCTGAAGTGCTCTCTGACGTAACCTGCCTGCTTACTGGCAGCCACGGTGAACTGGCTGTGGTTGCCTTGGAAGACCCTGCTGCATGCTGTGGGAATGGTGCTATATTCTGCATCAGGATATTTCATTTAAATTTTAAGTACATTTTAATGCAAATTCAGCAAACAGTCCCAAAAAGAGTACATACAATCATGGTAAGTACACATGTACAAATTAGGCAGCTGTGTAGAGATACCAGTTATTAAGTTCTCGTGTGTACATAACTAATAATGCATATGTAGTTTCAGGAAATGATTATATAGCTTATATTCTTGAAAGTAATTTCTCTTGGAAGACCGAGGAAGACAGAGCTGCTTACAAGCTGTGTTATGTGTTGGCTTGGATGCTAAGAGAAGAAGGGGCCTGGAAGGTCAAATTGAGCATTCCTCATAGCCTGTCCGGTATTTTGTCATATGTGGGAACTTTAACAGATTTGTGCCATGGAGGTACACCAGTAATAGGATAAGTTCACGTATTCACCTAGTAAGTGGTTGTTGTCTGGTCATACCTGGTGAAGCTGTGAGTGTCATGTGTGATGAGCTGCAGTTGCCTGCAGAGAAGGGGAGGTTTGTCCTCCCTTCCACAGTGGCCCAGAGAGCATGGGGGGACTGGCTCCAGAGGGGTGCTCACGTACACAAGTAGAGGCCACCACAGCCAGCTTTGCTCTGAATTACAGTGAGCACTGTGCCTTGTTAACAGGAGCGAATGCTGAAGGGTGCGTGAGCTCAGCCCTTGGTGAGGACCCCATCCCATGGGAGCCTTTTCTCCATGAATCCACCTTAACTCAGACCTTTTTCTGCATGTTCCACCCAATCTCCCACCTCGGGAGATGGGTCATGAAAGGAGGCAGCAAGATCTGCTGTGCTCGAAGTGTTGCTTTCCAGGGAGTTTTCCTCTGGGAGCTCAGGTTTTTCCCATCTGACTGCTCTTAGATGTAATGTGAAAATATTCATTTCCAGGGAAGTACTTTTTCCAGGAAACTGTTGCCTTGTTTAATTGACTGTACTTCTGGAATCAAGAGATGAAGAAAGGACAACCTTTTTGCTTTGGGCATCTGAAGGAAATGGGGTTGTGTAGCAGATGGTGGAGAGAGAACAAATGGCTCCTGTTCTGATTTTGCTCATGTCCCGCAGAGTCCTAGTGAGATCTAAGAAGGGATAAGCAGTGTTTGTCGTCTTTTTTGAAGTAGTTTGACCAATTGGAAGTTTCTGTTCCAGAGAATTGAAATCATGCTTGGTAATCTGAATATTTTTTTATTGACAAGTATGACCTGATCCAAACTAGCATCTGATATTAGTGTTATGTGCTCCCATCAGCTCCCAGCTTTCCAACAGAAGCGCTCTGACTCCTGGCTTAGATTGCTTGCTCAAGATTTCAGCATGTGATTAAGTTACCGTATGCTACAAAGTCTGGCACTTTCTCACGCTTTGTCTTTGTGTAGCCATGGTAAAGAGGTGCTACCTCTCTGTGACTGATTTTCAGCACAGCAGAGGAAAGCCAAACCTGTACAAAGGAGTGTGCAGTAGCCACAGCAGTTCTGTGGCTGCTGGAGCTTGTGTAAATGCCTCTGATTCTGCATGGCTGTTTAGTCAGTTTACTGCATATACCTTGTGCTAATTTGATTGTTACTGTTAATCAGATAGCTTGGTGTCAGTGGCCTGAGATGGCTCACTCAGATAACACCGAGTAATTTAGAGGTTTAAAAAGTTGTAATCTCTTTGTTTATCTTCCATGAGGCAAATCAGCATGTTCCTTACCTAGGGAGGTAATGCCACATCTCACTGTGCTGTGTGGTGAGTTCTTCCAGCTGCAGAATGGCCTGATGGAGCACTTGTGGACTGCAGCACATGGCCGGTATGGTGGGGCAGGAGTGCTGGGAGCATTATCACCTCTTTGTGGCTAGTGGCAGGCTTCAGAGAGGGCTGCCGAAGCAGGGTAGGTTTAGGGTAAGAGTTTTCCCATAGTACCTTTTCACCTTCTGGAAATCTTCAACTTACTGTTTTATCAAGCCAGGGTTTATACCTACATCTGTCTTCCATTGCTCTTAGCTGGCTTGACTTCCACAAATTGTATGAGAGTCCTGCATGCAGATGTAGTCCTTCTGAAAGCTCCCCAGCATCATCCAAATATGTTTTTCTCACTAACTGGTTGGATAAATCATTTTTCAGGTGGGATACTGCATACTTAAAATACACTGGAAAATAATAATATATATTTTTTTCCTTCCAGCTATTTTAGCAGCATCGCTGGTGGGGAATCAGAAACAAAGTGCTACTAAAGCACTAGCTGTCTCACAAACATCAAACCTCCCATGTGTCTTCAGGTGCTCACTGACTGGACTTGGGGCACTGGCCAGTGGAGCATGCTGTGGGTCAGGGGCCTGCAAGGGGAAGGCCAAACACTCAAGCCAAGACTGTGAAGACTGACAGTTGCAGCTGGGGATGTGGTGAACCCACCATCATATTTAAACAACAGAAAGGCATCCAGCAGATGGTTGTAATGTGTAGACAGCCATACAAGTAGGTGGTTGTGCAAACACAGTGAATGGTTGCTGAGTGGTCAGTCTGACCCTGCTGGGGGAGGAGGAGGACATCTCCCTTTCCCCCAGCAGGGTCAGATGCTATGGGACATGGTTTGGACTAAACAATGAGCTCTCAGCATGGCTGTAGGGCTCTCATGCAGAAGCTTCATGTGGGGCGTTCCTGCATTTGCTCCCTTCTGCCTCTCCTGTTGCAGATCCCTCATCCCTGTGGATGTGGTCACAGTGCATGTGGGGTGGAAGGAAACTGATCCTGTTTGGACACAACAGCTCTGCAAGCGGGGCTCTTTGAATAGATCAGTCAAAGATTTCATGCTATCTGTCCTAAGCCTGCTCCAGCCTTTCTGTTCTGTGAAAGGACTAGGAAGGTGCTCTGTGGATGCCACATGCCCCTTTGTCCTCTAGACTCCCTTTTCTGTCTTTTCTTGCTTCTGATAGGATATTATTGTGTTGGGATCATACAGCATCAGATGCTTGAGTGCTGAATAGTTGCCAACAACTGAATGATCCATTTCTTATTTCTGTCTCTTTTTCTTGGCCCTTTTCAGGGACAGTTTTCATGAGTCTACCTTGTCTTGAGGTTAACATTGTGTCAAGGAAGATAACCACTTCCATTACAGGTCTGTATTGTCAGGGCCTTGAGGGCACTCAAGATCCTTAATGTCCTTCGCCAGCTTCACCTCAGGCCCCCACCCTGTGGGCCCAAAAGCCCCATTTTAGCTCAAGCATAGGACTGTTGATAGCTCCAAGTCTTCCAGGTCAGCCTGTCTACAGTTCTTTTTTTTAAAAAAAAAATTGAAGTATGAAGTGTTAGCTACTGTTCATTTGCAATGTTTTGGGCTTCTCTTTTCTTTTTCCTTAATGTCAGCTGACAGAGTGATTCCAAAAGAGATGACCTTCCAAATTCTGTGAACAGCTATGTCCCTTTCTGAGTATGCAGATTACATGACTAGACTTGGAAATGAAACCATTTACCTTTGCAAGCTGAACTTTATCAGAACAGTTGTTGATTCTCAGGTAAGCATCTTATGTGCAGATGGTCTCCCTTAATCTTGAATTGGTGCTGCCTGGGCTATTTCCAGTAGGATGCTGGATGAGACTTTCTGGGACCATCAGAAGTCCTCCTGTTGATGAAGTTTTATTGACGATCCACGTCTGATGCTGTCAATGAGCTATGTGAAACAGTCTTCCTGTCTCATGAGGTTTGATGTCCAGGTGACAGT